TTGAGGTAAGGCTCAAGAGGGATGGAATTCTTGTGTCCCAGAGTATTACTATCTACCTTGTTTGGCATCCTCCAAGCTCGGATGAACCTTTGGCGATGACCTTGATCGTCGTTGTCGAAGTCGAAAACTAAACCTTGAATCAGCATATCATGTGGGCCATCCCTTCGGGCATAACCAAGCTGTCTTAGAGCCAAGCACGGGTTGTAGGTGATGCCTCCCCTAATGCCAAGTAGAGGGACATTAGGGAATTCCCCACAACGGTCGACAATGATAACATTCTCTTTGGATCGAGAACACCAATGAATGTCTAAATGTTTAAGTGTCATCAACCTTTGTGACCACCTCAAACCTTGCACATTCTTCAAGACTGATTAGGGAAGATGAGAAATAAACCATCTTGCCAGGAGAGGAGTGCAACACATAAGAACACCTCTTTTCCTCATTGTACAAGTGTGAAAAGAGTGCAAGATATCCCCAAGCAATGTAGGAAACGGATTGCGAGACATGAACATTTTGACAGCACTCACATCTATGATTTGGTCAGGCTATGTTATGCATTGGCAAAGAGTTATGCATTGGCAAAGTTGACTCTTTTTGCAAAATTGCCAAAAGTCAAATGTGGCCAAAATTGCATTTTTTGCTAAATGGGCCCAACTTTTTATGCTTGCACTGAGTTTGTAATGTGACCCACGACCCATGATCCCTTCCATTTGTCATTATTTTATTTTTTTCATTTATTTTGATTTTATTTCAATTAAATCAAATAAAATCAAAATAAAATAATGAAAATATCAAAAGCTAATCAAATCTTGAGATTTTGTGCATGTTTAGGTATATTACACAGCTGGAAGTGAGATCAAATCGTGCAAGGCTCATATGGATACAAAAAGATTGCATATTGCTTGATTTGGAAAGATTTGCACAAGAATCAAATCATTAATCAATAATCATAATTGGAGAAGATTTGAAACAAATGTCAACCCTAATTCATTCTTGGATACATAAGGGACGACTGCAGATCAAAAAGAGGGGGGTTGAAGGCGTGTAAAAGAGAAAGCAAGTTTCGAAAAATTCAAGAAAAGTGGCAAACTGATTTCCACGTTTCAGATCAATTCAAAGCATTCTAGTCATCCCAATCAATTATTGGACTCCCCAGGATCAAGATTCAATCATTAGCAAGCATTCTCGCGCCTTGAAACACACTGTGAGAGTCGCACGGTATCCATGTTTTCTTGATTTCGAATCCATTAATTTTGGCATCTTTAGCATGAATAATTGACATATTCTTAATCCTTGTGATGTTTGCAAGCTAATGGTTATATTTAACTGCGTTTTTATTGACTGTATACCAAGATGCCATGGCTAGGGTTTTCTCTTTGTGTTTAGGGTTTTCTTGTACATGGACAATTGGCCATTAATAATGATACCATGATGCTCGTGAGGTTGCAACGAGTAGATTGGTACCATTGGTTGTGATTTATCCTGCTTGCACAAAATTTTGGAGAAACATAGGGTTGTACCTACGCCCAGTGTCCGTAGGTAAAGGTTTTTGTCTAAAACGATAGAGGCAACGAGGAAGATGATGGCGTGGCGTGCTGTGAATGGGCCATTTGAATTTCACGTGTTTCAGAATTTGCTTTTTTATTTTTATCATATTATATTTCTTTGTTATCATTCATACAACTAATCAAGCTAGCTCAGTTGGCTAGCATGCAGCGTGAGAATGCCTAAGGGCTTGGGTTCGATCCCCAGGTCCCAACTTTGCTTCCTATTATTTTTTTCTTGCATAATCAAGTACACATGTGTTGTACCCCAAAATTTGCCCTCGCATTTATCAAGACTTTTCTCACAAAACTTCTTGGACTCAAGACATAATTAGGGTTTGGTCAGCTCAAGACACCTCATCTTGCACTGATAACCCAAAATTAAGGTTTGAGTTTGCACAAGGATTTTTGGACCACCAATGCTTCATGTGACTTTCATACACCATGTTGGACCCCTAAGACTGTTCATGATAAGTTTCAAGCCTTGAACCACATTTTTGATCAGTCAATTGGACAGTTGACCTAAAAATCAGTTGTATTAGGGAAAAAGTCAACCATGGCCAATTTACAGTCAAACTTCATGATTTTTGATCCACATCAACATTTTAGACTCATATGTATCATTTGATCAAGTTTGGATCACAACTCCTCAAGAAATTTGATAAAATCATCAAAAGGGCAAAATGGTCAAAATTAGGGTTTTTGACTGAGAAAGGGCAATTTCTAATTTTTAACATACCAATGACCAATTGAGTTCAAACATGAGTTCAAACATGATTTGAAACTTGCTTTCTCTTTTACACGCCTCCAACCCCCCTCTTTTTGATCTGCAGTCGTCCCTTATGTATCCAAGAATGAATTAGGGTTGACATTTGTTTCAAATCTTGTCCAATTATGATTATTGATTCATGATTTGATTCTTGTGCAAATCTTTCCAAATCAAGCAAAATGCAATCTTTTTGTATCCATATGAGCCTTGCACGATTTGATCTCACTTCCAGCTGTGTAATATACCTAAACATGCACAAAATCTCAAGATTTGATTAGCTTTTGATATTTTCATTATTTTATTTTGATTTTATTTGATTTAATTGAAATAAAATCAAAATAAATGACAAAAATAAAAGAATGACAAATGGAAGGGATCATGGGTCGTGGGTCACATTACAAACTCAGTGCAAGCATAAAAAGTTGGGCCCATTTAGCAAAAAATGCAATTTTGGTCACATTTGACTTTTGGCAATTTTGCAAAAAGAATCAACTTTGCCAATGCATAACTCTTTCAATTTTGACCCTAGAGAGGTGTTCTTGGACTTTTTAGAAAGCTTAAGATATCCTCTAAGCAACCCTGTTGGTCTCATCTTAATTGAGTCTTCCATGTTCATGTATGAAGCTTTGACATAAAATGTGTTTTTGTTGACTTTCCAAAATGACCTATAATGTCCAAATTCATATCTTCTTGTGAGTGCATATTTTGAACTTGGGAGCTGAAGATGGATTGTAGGTAATTGCATCCTCTTTAAAATAAGCTTTGGATGGGTCATTTTTAATAAAGTATGAGAAAGTTATGCTTGGTCAAAGTTGAGTTGATTTTTCCTGCAAAACCCTAATTTAGCAACTTTTGGATTTTGATGAATTGTGAGCAATCCTTGAGGAATCATGATCAACCCTTGATCCAATGATGAATAATACATTAAAAATGAGGATATTGACCAAAAAATTTGAAGTTTAACTGTATGTGGGCCACATTTGACTTTTGTCCTAGCACATTCGATTTTCCGGCCTTTGAGCAATTGACTGAGCAAACTTCCTCTGCAAGGCTTGAAACTTGACATGGATGATCTTGAGAACATATTAGGACAATAGTGAGAATTTGGGACCCTTTTTATTCAAACATCTTGATGCAAAATGAAACCCTAATTTGGGGTAGACTGCCTTAGGAGAGAGTTTGTCTAGTCAACTCTTGGACTTCCTTGAGCAATTTGAGGACCTCACTTGAAATGTATTGAGAAATATGGGAGAACAAATTTTGGGGTACAACACGTTTCGTCATTGGCAGGATTGATTCTTGGCTCAAAATCCCTAAAATAGTAACAACAATCATCATCAAGCACAAGGTTGGAGTGCACCATCTCCTTGTTGGCTAAAATGTAACCTGAATGTCAGGTTTTGACAAGATTTGTGGTACCTCGAATATAGGTTAGTGTTTTCGAGATGAATATGTCAATTTTGTCTTTACAGGAGTGGCATGAGATCCATGTATTTTTTCTGTCTTGAAAACAGAAGCTATAGCTTTTAAAGAAGCAATCTAGAATGCAAGGGTGGTCTTTTAAAGAAGCAATCTAGAATGCAAGGGTGGTATGGGATCCAGATATTCTTTCCATGAAAACTATAACTCTTAAAAAAGCAATCTAGAATACAATAACTTTAAATCTGAAGCGTGTTGCTATTGAAACCGAATGGTTCAAGCCCTTCGTGCTACCAACACAAGAAACAATTGCATTTATTATGCGTCAAATGGTCATTCGGTAAATTCTTAAACTATAATAACTTTCATCTTATTCCTCTTTGTTAACTATAATAGCTTTCATCTTATTCCTCTTTGTTGCTCGTTAAAAAAAGAACTCGTTAGATCACATCTTTATTTTATTACATTTAAAATGTATTGATTTTTTTTATACAATGAATTATTTTTATTAGACTTAATAATGATGTTGGTCCTCTACTTTAGGATTTATGAAATTAATCCTCCTCTATTTTAAATTATTTATATAAGAATTTCTTTTTGAAATTTTATAAATAAAAAAGATAAGTTAAAAGAAATAACGCCTCATCAATTTATAATAAAAGTATTTATATAAAAACAAAGAAACTAATTTTATTAAAATTTCATATCTTAAAAATTAAATAAATTAAATATTATAGGTTCGAGTCTATCCGTAGTAAATTAGAGATAGTGTTTGTTAGAATCTTATTTAAATTAATTAATTTTTCAAGTAAATAAACAAACAAGAGCATATGTCTCCCCCACTCATTCTTTGGAGTTCTTAATTTCACTTCCATTTTTCTTAAAGTTCTTCTAATCAAAACCAATAAGGGCTTTCAACCCAAATCACTACACAAAATAATATTCTAAAATTTTAATATAGTAATATAATTTATTTTAATTTTTATAAAAAAAAAACAGAATAATTCAATTATTCTACAAGTAAACAAATTAAATACATCAACAACAAAATAAACGCATTATAGTATACAATAGTACAACACAAGTAATGAAACAACAAGAACACAACCCTAGGAAACCAACCCACATAACATTACTAAAATAAAATAAAGTCACCAAAGTGCATACTTGATTTATTTATTTATTTTCCCATGTTTATTTGAACTTAACTAGTATAACTGAAATTAACCACTACTAATTATGATTTTCTTTCATGATGCGCGATTAATTTATGCTGATCTCTTAGCTTCATGTGCCTTCACTTGTATGTCTTGTCCAACCTCCTTAGTCTTTTCTCCAACATCCTTAGTTTTTTGTCCAACATAACCCGCCACGTCAGCCAAACGTCCCTTAAAGGAATCCACTTGCTCCGGCATCGTCTCTTGTACAACCCTAATGTACCTCGCCACCCATGACAACGATATAAGCCCTGTTAGTCCGCATGCATCGGCGGTCAATACCGCAGCCACCGCTAGTCCTATGGTGAGGACAGCGGGAACTAGAATCGGACTAAAAAGGATAAAAAGTGGTGTTGTTATCGTCAGTCCAACTAGACTGACGAAAAATGAGACGCTGGCTAATAAAAGCAGCGTCCCACCTACAAAAATCCCTCCAAGGGTGGCGAGGATTTGAGAGAGAGAAGGACCTCTTTCAAAGAAGTTAAAAGAAGAAAAATCCTCAACACAATCATCATCGTAACGGTGACGGTCGGGATAGTTAACACCTTTGTAAACTTCTTTACGAAGGGATCGTTGTTGTGGTGATGGTTGGTGGTAGGTTCCAGTTTCATAATGTGTTGCTGATGAGTGGACTTGAATTTGAGGTTGTGCCATTTTTGAGTGTTGAAAACAAAACAAAACAAAGTTTGATTCTTGAAGAATGAAGGTAAGAGATTATATTATTGGTGTGTGCATGAATGTGTGGTTTTATACAAAGGTGGAGTTGTTGAGATGTTGGCACGTTTGTTTGTGACATGGTGAGTAGGAGGTTTGCATGAGCTACATGTTTCATAGAGCCCTTGGTTGGTTACAAAAATTATATATTATATTGTTAAATTAATATAATTCAAATAAAAAAACATTTAATTTAACCTCTTGAATTCAGGCATATAGTTGTAAATATTTTTAATAATTAATTCAAAATTAAATTTATTTTAAATTTTACTATTTAATCAATTATATAGTAATAGTTATCATATTCTTATAGAGATATATGTAATATTTTATCAAATCTAAGTGAAAGTGTAAAAACAGTGGTTATATGAAGATGTTTTCCTATGACAAAATTTGTATCATTGACAAAGTGAATGTTGCACGGAAAATATTAAAAAAAATTAATTACAAATGTGTAAAATATATAAATAAAAATAGGTATATAGAAAATGAGGAGCAAAAACTTCAATAACATAAGAACTATGAATTGAATTGTATGCACCTTGATTTTGATTTGATTTTATTTATTGTGAATCCCCAGCCATCAAAGTTTGGCATAAATGATTTTTTTTCTTCATTTCAAAATGTATGTATACTCAATTGTTGTAGAAGATACTTGTAAGTAACTAATTTTCAGCCAGTTTTCTCTTGTTATTCATTTTTTTAAAGAGAAGTGATTTATGATCAATTTTTGATCTAAAATTATTTCTCTGAATTCTTTTTTCTTTTTTTCTTTCATTTAAATAAGTGATTTCACATGTATTTTAAATTTTTTTTTGATTTCGTTGTTTTATTACAACGTTGTGTTGATTGTCGTCTTATTGCGATGCTATTTGATTTTTTTGTCTTTGGTGCAGTATTTGTTCGATCCAAATTGACATATTAATTTCAACTCAGTGCATATTCAACCAATGATTTTGACGTCTTCAACGCTGCAGACTCAGAGACATGAGTATTTCGAACATTTTAATTTCATCACATTTTTAAGTTTTGTCACATTTATATATATTTTGTCATTATATGCTATTAATATAGGTGTTATGAATTTGCTCCCAAATTTATTTTTTTAATTTATATCGATTTTAAATTGTATTATTCAATGTATTCTATCAATTTAAATAAATAAATGTTAATTTTACTATTAAAAAAAAATTTGAATTGTAAGATTGAGTGAATTTTTTTTTAATCTTTTCGGACAACAACAAAAACATTAAAACTAACAAAAACATTAAAATCAAATAATATTAGGTGTCATGGAGTTTGGATGAGTAAGTATTTATTATCAAACTATTTAATGTTATGTTATTATTTTGGTGAAATCTATGCTAGCTTTTGTAAAATTAGGATAATTTATATAAATGACTTATATCAATGAAATTTTACTATGTAAAATAAATTGTTATTTCCTTCGTAACGATTTATAAGTAAATTTATTTTTTTATACGTCTGATAATTAATGTATCTAGTTTATATATAGATTAAATATATTAATTGTCAAATACATTTAAAAAGTTAAATTTTCATTGGTACAAGTATGATCATATAGGCAATTAAACTCTCCTTCAAAAGATTCAATAGTATTGTAGTGTTGTGTGTCTAGAACATAGATTAAATTCAGAATTCCTAGTTAAATTAGAAGAGACCTACTCCATCTCATCTAAATGTTATCGGATAATATGTTAGTCTTTTATATCTAAATGATTAGTTAGTATATTAATTTTTTTTTCTGATATATAACATTGAAACTTTTTAGTTTTTTTGGGTCTAGTAACTTAATGACCATAATTTCATCCATTAAAATTAAATAAGAGAATTTATTGAATCGATAAATAGAATTTTATAAATTTTTATAATTAGTTTATTTTTTTAATAGATTTAGTAACAAAAAATTGTTCGTTAAAAAATATTTTCTATATTTTAATAATGATGATGAAGATAAAAATGACATTCAACACACATAAAACACCTTTAATTACCGATATTATTGTTGTTTAATCGATCTTAAAAGTTGAACCAAATTTAAAGTTGTTCTTCTTATTTTTATCCATTCAAAAAATCGATATTCTAATTTATAGGATAATAATATCTAACCAAATTTTTAAGTTGATATTCTTATTTTTAGTCATTCACGAAATCAATATTTTAGAATCCTTATGCTTTACTTTTTTTTTCTTATATTTTTAAACTAAAAATGACCATGTAACATGTTTTAAATGAGATGACATAAAACTTGCTGATGAAAAATAATTTAGATTGATTAGTTATGTATAACATTGATTACATTATTAAAATGAAGAAAAAAAATGTAGTCGAAATTAGAGTTTTTTAGAATATTTTCTTGTAATCTTATTGACATCTTATTCTTCATCATTTTATTATTATCTAAATCCAAACAATCGTTATTTTTACAGTTACGCATCGGAAAATTTAGTTTCTGTTGAAACTAATTCCTTGTGTCAAAGTAGTTTGCTCGATAGAGACAAGGGAGTGTCGAAGTAAGTGTGTCAAAAATGTTACACACAGATTTGATTTGTTTTAGATTTAGATAGATTTGATTTAGATCTAAAATAGATAGATTTGATTTAAATCTAAAACAGATAGATTTGATTTAGTACCAAAATAAATATTTTGGGCTTTTATAGTTTTGAGCTTTGGCTTAGGAGCAAGCTAACCTAAATCTATAAATAGAGGGAGTAACCCCTAATTTTGTAATTAAATCAATTTATTGTAATCACAGAATTTACAGTTGCAAGTGATTAATAAAGTTTTTCACAGTTTGTGGACAGAGAGAAACTCTGCAGAAAATAATTGTCTTCTTTCTTTTCTTTTCTCATAATTCATTGTCATTGTGTGGTGATATCAATCTTGTTCATCAAGATTGGTAGAAATTCCTCATAGATATTTGGTGGATTTCCAGCATCTGGTACCAAGAGCTCGGTTAATCGATTCAAGGGAAGTATCGATCAAGAACGATTGAAGAACTCACGATGGTGAGTTATGGGAATGCAAATTATCCAACAACTCTACCAATTCTGAAAGTAGACAACTATGAGAATTGGTGCAAACAGATGAAAGTTTTATTCAGGTGTCAAGGTCTTTGGGATCTTGTAAAGGATGGATTGGAAGCGCTTGGAGAAAACGCTTCAGAAGAAGAAAAGAAGAAACACACAGAATCTGAGAAGCTGAGTTATAAAGCACTCTTCATAATTCATCAATGTCTGAGTCCGGAAAATTTTGAAAAAATGAGTGATTTAGAATCTGCAAAAGAAGCTTGGGAGGTTCTTGAGAAGTCTTTTGGTGGTGCAGAAAAGGTGAAAGAAGTAAGGTTACAAACTCACAAGAGAACGTATGAATTGCTTCAGATGAAAGATAGTGAGAGCATATCTGATTTCTTCACTAGGGTTACAAAACTAGTTAATCAAATCAAGGTATATAGAGAAACAATAACAATAAGAGTTGTTGTTTCGAAGATCTTGAGATTTTTGGCTCCTAAGTTCGACCACATGGTGGTGGCTATAGAAGAGGGGAAAGAATTGTCGAAATTGACAAAGGAAGAGCTTCAAGGGACGCTTGAATCTCATGAACAAAGAATGACTGAAATAATTGCAGGCAAGTCGAAGAGTGATGTGACTTTGCAGGCGCATTCAGCAAAAGAAACCAAAGGCAAAGGAAAGTGGTTGGACAGAGGTAGAGGAGGCTACAAAAAATCGACTGTTAGAGGAAACTAGAGCGAAGGAAATGTTCGAATCAGAGAAGGCCAAACCAAGGCAGCCAAAGAGGTGGTGTTGCAAATAGAGGAAAAGGTGGTGGTCGAAAACCTGACAAGAGTCACATTCAATGTTACAATTGTCAGAAGTATGGTAACTATTCGAGTGATTGTCCAGAAAAATGAAAGAATCAAGAAAGTTATGCAAAGTTTGCAAAACATGAAGAAGAAGAAGAGATGATGTTGATGGCCATAACAAGAGATGAAGATAGATTCAAGGACCAATGGTACTTGGATTCAGGATGCTCATCACATATGTCTGGAAGGAAAGACTGGTTTGTTAACATAAAGCCCTCAATAAAAAATATGGTAAAATTCGCAAATGACAATACCCTAGAAGCTGAAGGTATTGGTGATGTTATGATTATGAGGAAAGATGACAAGAGGTCAGTAATTTCCAATGTATTGTGAATACCAGGCATGAAGAACAATTTGTCAATGTCCATGCTGTTTTTGAACTTAATGCTTGTCTATGAGTGTTTGGTTTTCTATTTTTAATGGATATTGATTCTTTGTTTTCTTTAACCCTCAACTATTATTTTTTGTTTGAATTTTTACCTTTCCTTAGAAAGTATGGAGTATTCACATTAATGTTGGTTGAATTTAAGTTGGGGAGAGAATTGTCTGCTTGCTCTTGTGTTGATTGCTACGAGGTTATGAAAAGAGAAAGAAAAAGAAAAAGAAAAAGAAAAAGAAAAAGAAAAAGAAAAAGAAAAATAAAAAAAGAGAAAAAAATTGAAAAAGCTTTGAAAAAAGAAAAACAAAAAGAGTATGGGATAATGTTGTGTTAATAAGTATTGTGTTTGATTTGTGAAATGTGGGATTATGAAGAAGCTTGATTGGAATTTTTATGTTTGAAACTTTGAGAGTTGATCACTCCCTTAGGTTTAGGCAATTTTTTGTTTCGATTAGCTTTAGGACTTATCCCTTGTTTGCTAACCAGGCCATATTACAACTTTGAAAAATCCTTGTGATTCTTGTCTTTGTATGTTCACAGTGAATTTTTGGATGAATGCATAATTTAGTCTATTATTTGCAAGACTGCGGATGAGTGTCTATGTCTCTCACTTTTGTGTGTTTTTCATCTACCTATGAATTTTTATTAGGTGTGATTCATGATAAAGTTTGTTTTGTT